ATTTTCTACATTGTGAATTACTTTGTAGTTGTCAAGTTTTTTACAATGTGAAAAACCAAATCCTTAAAAAGTATTTGTAGCCTGGCCAGTGTGGTTCAGTGGTTGAGCATCGACCTATGAGCCAGGAGGTCACGGTTCGATTCCCTGTGAGGGCACAGGCCCGGGTTGCAGTCTCCATCCCCAGTAGGGGGCGTGCAGGAGGCAGTCGATCGATGATTCTCTCTCATCATGGATGTTTCTATCTCCTTCCTCTCCCTTCATCTCTGAGATCAATAAAAGAAATATATACATATAAAGAGAAGAGAGTGAAATTTTGATCTGTAACCTTCATAATAGAAAATTTGTAACAAATGTATGTTGCTGAGAGAAACAGATGAGGGACAGGCATCCTGCCCACCTCCTATTATATAAACGTGCCCGTGCGTGTGCGTGTGTGTGCATGTGTGTGTGACTGTGTGACTGTGTCTGCTGTGTAACTGTGTTGCTTGCGCTGGCTTTGGCTGAGTCAGGCTTCTTCTATGAGAAAGAGACGAGAAGTGCTGTCTGGGAGCCCTGCGATGACCTAGAACCTGTGCAGAGAGTCCCCGTGCACCAGGGCGGGGGAGGCCCTGGGCACCCTTGTGCCTTTGATCAGCGTCCAGAAATGGGGGGGCACGTGGTGTCCAGCTGGAAGGAGGCGAGAAGGAGGCGATGAGCATCTCCGTGGTTAAGGTTGAGGCTCCTAACCGCTCTCCACACCGTCCTAGTCTTCCCAGCCTCTTCCTTCCGTGTTTTCAGTGGGTTTAGCTTCCTGGGTACAGCCCACGGTGAGGGGTGCAGAGGGTCCTGTCTCCCCTTCACGCTCCTCCCCCAGGTCCTGGCTCTGCCTGGAGTTGTGAGTTCCTGAGGGATGGCTTAAAGACCAACGCTGGTTGTGGGGGTGCCGGGCAGGCCCTTGGCCCCTTAGAGATGGAGGGTCGGCCTGGAGCGGCAGCTGCTGCGTACTGGGAGCTCAGGGCCCAGCCCTCGCCCCACCAGTTTTGCCCCGAACCCCCTAAAATAGCCCCCGCAAGCTGGCAGCCTCGCCCGTCCACTCTGCAGCGTGCGAGCTCGCTCTTTGAAGCGGCATGGGAGGCAGGCCTGGCTGCTCTCTGGGCTTCTGGCCTTCTGGTCTCTTCCTCTGAGCTGTCTGTGATCCGTTCTCTCCGAGGAGGGGGGAACAGACAGAGCTGCAGATGCTCGGGGCTGCTGTCTGTTCTGCGTCGTCGGTCTTGGTCGTGCTGCCTGGGATCCGAGCTGTTGGCGCTTTCCATCAGAGGTCGGACTTCACGGGAGTTTTCCCCCCGTGCTCCGTGGCAGCAGCCTCTGCAATCATTCAGGGAGGAGGCACGACCTTGGGAGGCTGGAGAGGAGCAGATGGCTTTGAAAATTAACACTGCTCACTGCTTTATCTTCCGAGTGCTGGCTGGTGCATTGGGTTTAAAGACGAACAAGTAAGGGGAGGAAGGTCTTTCTCTTAAAACCAGCATTCACGGTACCCTCTACAGTCATAGGATTTAAAAATATATATATTTCTATTGGTTTCAGAGAGAGGAAGGGAGAGGAAAAGAGACAGAAACATCCATGATGCGGGAGAATCATGGATCGGCTGCCTCCTGCACACCCCACACTGGGGATGGAGCCCCCAACCCGGGCCTGTGCCCTGACCAGGAATCGAACCATGACCTCCTGGTTCCTAGGTCAGTGCTCAACCACTGAGCCACACCAGCCGGGCTGTAATAGGTTTTATGAGCAGAGCTCCCTGGACCCCTGTCTGGGGGGGAAAGGTGTTTCCTACCTGGGGCTCTGTGGCTCCAGGAATTTGAGTCCTGAATCTTGGTCGCTACAAGATAACCCTTACAAAGTGCTACGCAATGATTGGGCATGTGCCAAGCCCTGAAACCAAAGGGAGCTTCCTGGAGGAGGCGTCGCTCACATGCCAGGGGAACCTGCGCCCATGATGAGGACAGTGACCCACGTGCCAGGCTGTGCCCTGCCTCTCAGCCCTGTACAGAGAGCACAGATGGGTCCTCTGAGGCAGTGTCGGGGGGTGATGAGAAGACTGGGTTAATGATCACCATCAACTAGTCAGACTTGCTCATTCAGGAAAGGTGGTGCGCCCCTTCTTTTTTATAACACCTAGAACTTTTTTCAGTGAAAAAGCTTTATTTTTGCCCAGCCTGTGTGGCTCAGTGGTTGAGGGTCGACCTATGAACCAGGAGGTCACGGTTTGATTCCCCGTCAGGACACACGCCTGTGTTGCAGGCTCGATCCCCAGTAGGGGGCGTGCGGGAGGCAGCCGATCCATGATTCTCTCCCATCATTGATGTTTCTCTCTCTCTCTCTCTCTCTCTCTCCATCTCTGAAATCAATAAAAAATATTAAAAAAATTAACGACTCAGTGGGTGGCAATCTCGCTGTGTGAAAATTGGGGAATGTTTTTCTGTTCCTCAATTTTTAAGGTGACTTTCTGAGTTTAATTCATCTTACCCCAATGAACAATTCCCAAATAGGACTCTTTCTCCAAACCCTCGCAGCCTGAATGAAATCAAGTGACCACACAATCACATTAAAGTCTTAAAGGCTATTTTGTTTAACGTTATGAAAAGCTAACACACGGAGTAATTCTACCAAGATTATAATTATGATGTAACCTAAACTCTATTATACGGCCTGGGATCATTATTTATACTTTATAACTGTCAATTCTGAAAGGATATTCTTTCTGAAGTTACTGGGATAACTCTCTCTAGAATCAATTAAAAAAAAAAAAGAGTCATTGTGTGACCACCTCACCCTCTCTCTGTCTGAAGAGCTATTTCGTCGGGGAGTCACGTTTTTTAGTGACGGGAGCACCGTTTCCCCTCCCCGTGTGCTCTGAAAGCTGTTTTCATTGAGATCCAAGTTGTGCCTGTATCCAGGAGCTCTGTCCCTCTGGATGCGAGTTCTGCGGCTTCTGACCCGTCTCGCTCTGGCTGCTGTGAGACCCGTGGGCGGGGGGTCAGTTTTCTATTGGGCTGAAGTTACTGGGATAACTCTCTCTAGAATCAATTAAAAAAAAAAAAGAGTCATTGTGTGACCACCTCACCCTCTCTCTGTCTGAAGAGCTATTTCGTCGGGGAGTCATGTGTTTTAGTGACAGGAGCACCGTTTCCCCTCCCCGTGTGCTCTGAAAGCTGTTGTGTTCATTGAGATCCAAGTTGTGCCTGTATCTCAGGAGCTCTGTCCCTCTGGATGCGAGTTCTGCGGCTTCTGACCCGTCTCGCTCTGGCTGCTGTGAGACCCGTGGGTGGGGGGTCAGTTTTCTATTGGGGCTCACGGCCCAGGCCTGGCAGAGGAGCACCCAGGGGTTGGGGAGAGAAAGCAGCGCCCCTGTGCGCACAGCTGATTCCTTGTCTCAGCTCTGGAGGTTTCTCTACCTCTGGAGCCTGGGCGTCTAGTCTGAGCTTACAGGCCAGGGCTGAGGGCGCCCCAGGGCCCCAGGTGTCTCAGGCCTCCTGGTCCTGGGGCTCCGGGCTGGTCCCTTTAGCTGGAGAGGCCCAGTGGGGGACAGAAGTGGGGGGGAGGCAATGTTAGGGTCACCACCTTCTCCCAAAGAAAAATGTGCAAGACTTGATCTCAGGGAAAAGAATAAAGACTCAGCCCAGCCAGCATGACTTGGTGGTTGAGCGCTGACCTATGAACCAGGAGGTCATGGTTCCACTCGGGTCAGGACCCAGGCCCGGGTTGTGGGCTCAATCCCCAGTGTGGGGCGTGCAGGAGGCAGCCGATCCATGATTCTCTCTCATCATTGATGTTTCTATCTATCTCTCTCTTCATCTCTGAAATCAATAAAAAATATATTAAAAATAAAGGCTCAGTGGGCACACATTCCCCCTTTTACAGAGGAAACAGACTGTGGGAGGTGAAGGGGTTTAGACAATCGGAAACGGTGGTGGGGCCGGAGGTGGGCCAGCTGTCCGCCCGGTGTGTCTTCTCGGTCCCGTCTTGTTCTGGGAGAAGCGGCCTGGACCCGTGCCTGGCGTACAGCGAGCGCTTCAGTGTCGGCTCAGTCCCAGCCCTGTCCCTTCGGAGGAACGCTGTCCCCGTGGG